GTGGGGAGCGCCGGGGCCGTGGAGGAGGGAGAAATCTGCAAATTTTCTGCTCCCTCCTTCCCCAGGGAGCAGCAGGGATGGGGAAGGCCTTGCTCGGTGCCGAGTGCCGCGCTGCACGGCTCGGCCGTGGGGCCTCCCAGCAGCTTTTCTGCGTTATAAAACCCGGAGGGGATTGTTTTGCTGTAGAGCCACGTCCTGGGTTCAGGCGTGATCACGCAGAACGTTTCAAAGGAGATTTTAAGACAAGGTGTTGCCCACCCCCCGCACCGTGTTTTGTGCACTGGGAGAGCTCTGGAGGGGCTCCGTGTGGTGAGTTGGTTGCTGGGGCACCTGACACGGTGTTTGCAGGAGCTGGAGGGGTCTGTGTCGTGGCTGTTCTCACTCTGTCCTGGCCAGCAGATGTGCTGCCGGTGTCCTTGCTGTGTCTCAGCGCCCTGCGTCAGCCCCCAAGCTGCCCTGTGTTCCTCCTTACGCCCAGGAAATTCTTCTCAAGCTTTTCTTTGGGTTTCATAAGTGGTTTTTTTCAGTGCAGATAAATTACTAGACTGAGCCCTGGAAGGAGACAAGTGAATTCAAAGACAAGTAATTTGTGGACCCCGCAGCGTGGTGACGTAAGCGTGGGTGAAAGCGTGGTGCCGTGTCCTGAAGTTTCACTTCACCTCTGGGTCTGCAGATGAGGTTTTACAGCGAAGAAGAGTGTTTCAGCTTCATCATGAGCTTGTGTACCAAAACCGCAATTTTTAAAAATAGAACACACGCACACACACAAAAATCCCTTGTTTCAATATTTAGAGTCAACTCCTTATGCAGAGAAAGATTTGAGGTGGTTCTTTTTAGTTCTGTTTTCTCTTTCCAGTTATCTTGATGATGTGAGTACGTGGGAAGGGCTCCCCCCACCCCGTTTTCTGTTTCTCTGAAATCTGGCTTGTCAAAGTATGGAATTTTTATGATTTCTTCGTAATGTTGCATGGCTTCTGACTGCCGTGCGTGTCCAGCTGAAAGGTGTGTGTTGTGCTTCAGGAGTCGCTTGAGCGGTCGTTAGTCACCGGTGGGTAGAAGCTGCCGCTTCAGTCGATGGTTGCTGTGCCATTTTTCCTGTTGGCTGGAGCAAAATACGGATTTATTTGATAATTATAAAAGCCTTATGCTGTCAACACTAAAGAAATAGTAAAATTTCAGTATTAGATTAAAAGATCAGACAGCGTCGATGTACTGTAAATTGCACAGGCAGTGAAACACCCCGAGCGTAGAACCAGTGAGACTCAGTGCCTGTACAGGATTAATCTGCAGGCTCAAACCCAGTGGTGCTGGTGTTGCAGATCGATTTTAGTCCCTCAGCAGCACCGGGAAGGGTCTGCCTGGAGAGTGCCCGGCCAATCTGTAAACCTGACGTTCGGCCACCCAGAGGGAGGGCACAGCTTGACTTGGCAGTTTTCATACGCTTTGCCAGAAAATGGCTTCTTGGAATCGTGTTTCTGGAAGGTGGCGTGTCAGCCACTCTGCTGGCTTCTGGAAATACAGTTGGCCAGGATTGACCAAGGAATAATGAGCAGAATATTTACCTCCTTGCTGATTGTCCTGCAAGCCGTACAATTTGCTGCTGTTGCCTTGGTGGGAATAATTCCAGAGAACGTACTTTGCCATCTGCTGGAATGTTCCCATTGTTTTTAACGGCTGGTGTTGGTAATCTGTGTGACTTTTGGGTGTCGAGCCTGAGGCTGATCCACGTGGTCTTTTGAAAACCGCCATCCCAGGAATTCTTGCAGAAATTGACTCAGATTTCTGCTGTGATGAATCGTCAGTGACAAACTGGTGGATTTTCCAGGAAGTGCAACTGCAGGCTGGCTTCTGCGTAAGGGTGTTCGGAAACCCTGTGAAGATCCAGTGTTTTATCATGAAGCAGATGAGTGAAATCATCTTCCTGGAATCTGTGGTCATTTGGGCTTTGGATTGTGGTAAAACCTGAAAGTTCCTCTTAGCAGATTCTGGTAAAGGCCATAATCAAATTTCTTCTTGGTATGTGGTGGTGGCAGAACACATCAGGAAGGGTCGCAAGTTGGTGGCTGCGGGCTGGCCCGAGGGACCTGGCGTCCCGCCAACCTGAGAGTGGCCGCCGTGGTTCTATCCTGACAGAGAGTCTGTCTCCTGTGAGCAGGACTCGCAGACCAGAATGTTTCTGTTGGGTTTGGGGATGTAGTTCAGTCTCGTACTTGTCAATTCCTGGGTCTCATGGGAATTGCTGCTGCTAATTGTGCTGAAATGTGGTTTTGCCGTGTGGACAAACTCCTGCCGGGGTTGTCGTATGACTTGGTGAATTTGCATGCATGAGGAAGAAACGATGATGTTTGCTTCTTGTTACCCCCCAGAGCATGACTGGTAGCAGTGAGTTGGTTTCTTTCCTAAGTGACTTCAAAGGAATTAAATTTCAAAGGAAAGAAATTTAAATTTTTTTAAAAGAAGTTTGAAGCTTGTAGGAAAAGTCTTGACCTTTTAGCACTGGTGCAGGATGTGAGTGGCGTCGACACAGGGAGGTCCCTGATGCTTCTCGGTTGTGGTTCTTGGCTCCTGCCTGTTGGAACACGCTGGGTCCTTGGTGACATTGTTCTGCTGCTACGACTTCATTGCTTTTACTGTGACTTGTGCTTGGGCACTTTGCATGTTGCAGATCTTTTTTTGGATACGTTTGAGGGGTTGAGGCATTTTTCTCTTTTGTTAAGGAGCTTTTAGAGTAGCGTGATTTGTAAAACATCTTCACCTGAAATAGAAGCCTCTGGTCTTCAGCTCGGTGGAGAACTAAGCTGGCTGTGAAAGTCGCTGTTGGCCACGGCCAAGCCCACGATAACTTGTGTGATAACGACAGTTCAGAAGTGACCCGTGACAGGGAGAACTGGTACCACAGCAGCACCACCACATCTCTGTCTGTGGCTGTTCGGACAGTTCCCACTCTCGGTTTCGTCACCTTCCAGCCTGTTCCCTCTCGTGCCCCTGTTCCGATGAAGGAGTAGTTTCCCCTCATCTCCCCTGCCAGCTCAGAGAAGAAGCTGATGGTGTTAAGATCTGGTTTTCCGCTTTTATCTGTGTTCTGCTGTTTCTAGATATGGCTTTGGTGATTCCGCTGAGGTTATGGAGAGGGAAAGGCGTCCTTGCCCTTGTGAATCCTTAAAAAGTGTTGACTCTGTTGCAGCTCTTTCTGTACCTACTTGGAGGCTATTTGTGGGAAGCAAAGGCTCCACCGTAAAGAATTGGTCTGTCTTTTGTTTCACAGATCATCATGGCTGCTTCTAGCCCCGTTGCTCACCTCTCCTGTTCCTGTGGTCACAACCCCACCCTGTTCGCTGTGTTCAGAAGGAGCACACAGGTTCCAGTGGATCAGGAACCTGGTTCCAGAGTTTGGGATCTCCAGCTCCCATGTCAAGGTGCTTTCGTCCCCAGCTGAATTCTATGAACTCTTGAAGGTGAGTTGTGGGCCCAAGTTGCGAGAAAGGTTCCTGGGGGCTGGGAGCTGTGGTGGTTGCGGAGGATCAGACGAGCTGTCAGGAAGGAGCATCTGCAGGTTACCAGTCCAGCCTCCTCCTTGCAACAGGATCGTTGTCAACACTAGATCAGGTCAGGCCGGCTTTTGTCGTGAAAACGGTGGAGGGTGAAGGTTCTGCCTGCTGCAATAGTTTACAGTTTTCTTCTGGTGTCAGACCTGAACTTGCAAAAGCTGCTTGTGGCTACTGCTTGGTTGCTGGCTGCCCTTAGATCAGCTTCTTCTTTGCCTTATGAAATGTGCGCAGCTCCCCTGATCCCCCCAGAGGTCCCTTAGGTTGCTGCGATGTGAATCCTGTAACACCACATCTCGGGTCAGCAGGAGGGCTGAGGTGAGAAATTCATCGCCCAGCTCAGTCACTCGCCTCTTTTCATAACGAGTGTTCAAAGTGTGATCTCAGGTCGCTGTGGTAGGCTCTTGGAGAGCGAGGCTCGGGAGGGCAGCAGCCACCCTGCTGCGGTGTTGGGGGTGAGCACAGGGGAGAGGAGGAGAGCTCTGCAAACCAAGATCTTGAGGTACTAGGTAGTTTGCAAGGTGGGACACAAGAGGTCAAAGCAGTTGCAGAGCGAAAGCTGGGATTGCCGGTGCTGATACAGGCCTGGGATTGCAACTGCTGCGGGGTGGCCGCTCTTGTGTGTAATAGTTTTAGCTGCAGGGAATGTGTTTTCCAGAAAGCAGTTATTTCTTCCTTGATTTTTGGATGCAACCATGATGCTACTGTTGCCCTGTAAAGACCTGTGTGGTTTTCGTCTGTGCTGTCGGGGTGCGCCTTTCCTTCTGCGTGGCAGGGGAGACGTGGCTGCGGCGATTCTCCTGGGGCGAACCGCAGCTCTGCATCGTTAGCGGCCCGCGATCGCAGAGCCTGGGGATGAAACTGAACTTGTTTTCTGCTCCCCCCAGGCGCAGATCAAAACAGCCAAGCGGCGAGTGGTGATGGCTTCGCTCTACCTGGGAACGGGGCTCCTGGAGCAGGAGCTGGTGAGTGTGGGAAGGGTTTGGGAAGGGAGGAAGGTGAATGCGAGGAGAACGTGTCTGCCTTGGCGGAAAGCACCCTGCTCCTGCGGGCACGGAGGTGTCTGTGGGCTGCTGCTTGTGAGCTCGTGACGTCCTTAAAGCTTTCATGAAGTGGGAATACTCGATGTGTGTTTTCTTCTCTCCCTGAGAAGCCTCTCATGGCTTCTGGCTGCATTTATGTGCTTGTACGGGGGCCGGGGGCAGGAATTTGGAAGGGAGGAGCGTGAGATTTCTGGTTGAGGCCTAGTACAGAGCTGCTGAGCTTTTCCACGGGATAATGAGCCTGGGTCTTTCGGATCGTGAGAGGTTACTGGCACAGTGTTCAAAGGATTCTTACAGAACTGTGGGACCATGGGTAATTGTTTTCTGGCATTTTTTCTTGAACACGATTGAAGTTGTCTGTGTGTAGCGTTGTGTTCTGTCTCCCAAGTTCAGTAGGCAGATGCAGCGCTAACGCTCTGCATTTGAAACAGAGGTCAGTTTTGCGTTGTGTTGTTTACCTCTCTTGTTTCCTGTTCTTCCCTCTGGAAACAAAAGCGTTCCCTGAGACCTTTAGGGAGAAGCTTGACCTTGGCCAGCGTCTTACGTTCAGAGTGCAAATTCCACAGCAGGGCAAAGGTGGACGGAGTCTCACGGCATTCGGTGCCTGGCTTTGTCTGGGCTTGTACGCAAGATCTGGATTTGCATGTGGCAAACAGCCTCGTAGTCAGAGAATAAAGCTGCCTCTGCACCGTTTGTGAACTCCCACCGAGGTTTCTCTTTGGTAATGCAAATCTGTGATTTGGGAATGATGGTGGGACTTTTTCTGCTAATATTAAATTGCTCTTCAGAGGCTCAAAGAATGTGCGTGTGTAAAACCGATGCCCTTTCATGTACTGCTTTAGGCTGATGGAGTGGGATGCTGGTCTGACAGATGAAAAGTCTAAACCAGCAGTGTTTTGCATGAGGAGGAAGGACTCGTACTAGGGTGTGGAAGTTTTCATGGCCACCAGCCTCCTGACTCGAGAACACTTTCCTTATCAAGCTTGATTTACTTTCCATAATGAGTAGCTGTCTCTCTGCAGGTGGATTGCTTAGAAGAAACGCTGGAGAAATCACTGGAAGCAGAAGGATCGTCTAACCTCAGGGTTTCCATCCTCCTTGACTACACCAGGGGTTCTCGGGGTAGATATTACAATGCTTTGCTTTCTTCAAAAGCTTGTTTCACAGTTAGTCTGGATAACCTGCTTTTTCAGAGAGAGACTGCCTTGACCAAATGAACCTATTTGCTTAAATCATGTGCATTTCAAAACTGGCCATTTGTATACCAGTAGCTACTTACTCTCAGGAAATCTTCAAACTGAGCGCCCTTTCTTCCAAAAATAGGGGATGGAAGGGAGAAGGGCCAAACTCTGCTCTGTGCAACGTGTACTTTCCTGCTTAGTTCGCTTGTTGGTGCATTTGCCTGTATCCATCATGCTCTCATATTTTAATTTTTAAGGTGTGAATTGCTGGAAGTAGCAGCACACTTAATCAGAGACCTTTGCGGTGACGCTTTGTAGTCTGTGCTACCAGTGCTAGGTGTGGCTTCGTTAAGAAGCTTTAATTGTGTCAGACCAGCTCAGTGACGGTTTCCAAGGCGCACTGATCACAGAACTTACAGCTCTGGATGTTGATTTCAATATTGACATAGTGCAAATGAAAGCGATTTAAGGAAGGAGAACAAAAGCAGAAGGAGTACGTGTTAAGTGCAGGCCAACGAGGCGGCTGTGGGTGCTGTGCCCAGCTCCCAGGGCCGTGGTGTATCCCCGGGGGGCTCTGCTGGGCCCCCCTGTTTGACACTGCCCTTGTCTCTCAGGCAGGAAGAATTCTCGAACGATGCTGGTTCCACTGCTGCAGCGATTTCCCGAGCAAGTGCGTGTGTCCCTCTTCCACACCCCAAACCTGCGGGGACTTCTCAGGCTCTTGATCCCAGAGCGTTTTAATGAGACCATTGGACTGCAGCACATCAAGGTCTATCTCTTTGACGATAATGTGATCCTGAGCGGGTGAGTCCTGCCTGAAGAGGCCCTCGTACAGTTCCTTTAGCCGAGGTTTTGAGGGAAGGTGCGCGCGTTACCAGCGTGCTCTGAACTGTGGTGTTTGCGTCTGGTCTTTCCGTAATGATTGTATCGGTGCCCCTTGGAGATGGAAGAGCAGCCACAGCTGTTCCACATGAGATTCTCATATGAAAGAGAGGGTCTGTCTCAAAAGGAATAAAAAAGATTTCTCCAGATTCAGAAGGAAATGCCCAAGTTGTACTTTCATGCAGAGTGAGATCTATAACGGGGGGTTACAGACTGGGGTGTTCAGGATTGTAGGACTGTGCTCTGTTCTGGAACTCAACTCTTCTTTTTCTCTCCTAGCGCAAACCTGAGTGATTTGTACTTCACCAATCGTCAAGACCGCTATGTTCTCCTGCAGGACTCTCCTGAGATTGCAGACTTCTTCACGGAGCTAGTGGATGCAATTGGAGATGTGTCTCTGCAGTTACAGCGGGATGACACGGTGCAGATGATGGAGGGGATGGTGCACCCCTACCAAGGTAGGGGGCAGTTGTCTTGTCTGGCTGGATGATACAGTCTCGAGAGGAGTGACAGCCAGGGTTTAAGGGTGACTGGGAGCCTGTCCGCTTGTGAATTGCCGAGTGTCTGGCCATTGTTTCCAGACTGCAGAGTGTCCCCTTTCTCTGCCATCTGTTGTTAAAGTCAAGATTGCTGGAGTTTTGAGGCTGGGCCTGTCGGAGTGTTCCTTGCACAGGGGCAGTCACGGGCTGATCTGACAGAGTGTGCAGAGGCGAGAAGTTCCTCTTAACTCTCTCGTTGCTTCTTCGTAATTCTGCTCCGTATGACTTTAAACAAGAACGTAAATTCCTCGAGTGATTCTTTCTATTTCTGACATTAATGTCTATAATCCTAGATGTTCTGGGTGTACACACTCTAAAAGTTTCATGAACGTAGTGCTATTTTTGGTAATTAATATTTTGTGGTTGAGGCTATTCTGGGAATCAGGTGAATATTGGATTAGGAAGGCTGAGAGCGGGTGTTGAAGTGGGCAGAGAAGGGCGTTTATCTGTCAGGCTGATTGCGTCCTAAGTTTTGTCCTGGCCTTGCACGCTGCTGTGTGAGCTCAGCTGGGCTGGGCAGTAGGTTGTTTTGTACGTTCTAGTTCATTCTCGGTTACCCTTTTAGCTTTGCCCCGGTCTTTTCATTTCTCAGGGGGTTTTTCAAGCTGCCGTTAGTCACGTTTCTTACTGCTCTTAAAACTGAGTATTTTTCTCCTGTAACAACTTTGCTAACATTAAAACATCTGTATTTGAGAGATAGGGAAGAAAGTTGTGTGGGCTTTGTGTTAGTTTGTTCTTGTTCTCATACTGGTGACCAGTAGTTTTTCCCACTACATAACGGGTGATGAGTAACCTCGGTACCTTTAGGTCTCAGACGAAATCTCTTCCGGTTTTCCCGTAGGAGACAAGGTGGCTTACTGTGAGATAGCAAATCGGAGAGTCATGGAGGTGATCAACTCCGCCAGGACACGGCAGGAGCTCCTGCACGCAGAGACTTTCCACAGCAGCAGCCAGCAGGGCAGCTCCCTGTTAGCCCAGCAAGGCTCTCGAGCGTCCGGGGAGCTGAAACCAGACCCTGACACCTGGATCTATCCCTTGATCCAAATGAAGCCTTTTGGGATTCAGATCGACGAGATGGTCACAGAGACGCTGCTGACGGAGGCGGAGCGGGACGCCAGGATCTACCTGACCACCGGCTACTTCAACCTGACGCAGGCGTACATGGACCTCATCCTGGGCACCAGGGCCGAGTACCGCATCCTGCTGGCCTCCCCGGAGGTGAACGGGTTTTTCGGTGCCAAAGGGGTGGCAGGTGCCATCCCTGCTGCCTATGTTTACATTGAACACCAGTTTTACAGCGAGGTCTGCTACCTCCAGCAGCAGCAGAGGGTCCAGCTGCAGGAGTACTCGCGCGCTGGGTGGACGTTCCACGCCAAAGGTAAGGTGTCCCTTTCCCGAGGGGATTGCTCAGAAAGTGCTCGAGGCTTGGGCGTGTTTGGATTGGCAGCTAGTGAGGGGACGGCTGGGTGGCCAGTCTGGACTCACCCTCCAAGATATTCGTCTGAAGTTCAGACATCTGGCTTGCATAAACCTGGAAGGTTTGGATGGCTTGGGGTACAACCGTGGCGAATCCTGTCTTGCCCTCTGGATTTCCAGTTCGAGTATAGTCCCAGAGATTAGGCAAGAGTTGTCCCTGCGGTGACCGTAAGGCGCTGTCTTGGAAGTGAAGTGTGATGTGAGAGAAAAGGCAGCCTCGGGGCGTGTTTGTGATTGCAGGAACGGTTGTGATGCAGCTTCTTGGATCCCTCCTGCCAGTTCCAGTGACCAGAAGCGATGACTGTGTCAGGGACCCGGGGCAGGATCTGCGACGGCAGCAGGAAGGGAGCTTGAGTGGTGACTCCCCAGTGGGCCTGGACACAGCTGGTCTTTGTGGGGATGATGTGGGGGTTGAGGAATTTGTACCAGCTTCTGTTTATGGCATCCAGGAAAGTGCAGCGTGGTGAATAACTGCCCCCGTGCGCCTTTGGGGAGCTGGAAGCAGCGGGAGGGGAAGTTGCTGAGAAATGAATATTGCTTAACAAAAGTAGTTAACAACAGACAAAAATAATGAATATTGCCATCATGGTCTTGTGTAGGGGACTCCACGTTCTTTCTTGCTGGGTAGACTGTGTGCAGCTCTCATAAGCTTGGTGCCACCTTGGCCAAAGCATGAGTGTTTTCCCCCGACTGGTTGTTACTGGTTATGTCTCTTAAGTCTTCCTTTCACAAAGTGCAGTCCTTGCCTCTGAGGTTCCCTTACTCTATGTGCAAGCAGGAAGGGTTTGATTGCTCAGCAGCAGATTATAGTAATGCAAATAGCTTAGGCAGCCTGCTTAATTGAGGATTTATCTTTCTTTTAGAAGTCTGATGCGTGTGACGCTATAAGTGTTGGGATTCTTACGGTCCTCCCACGTGGAGGGGCACCAGTGGGATGCCTCACAGGACGCCGAGGTCTCAAGGAACGAG